GAGCCACCTGCCCTTCTGTTATGCAGCTTGCCTGAGCCCACCATGACTTTCCAATGACTTCTCCACTGGTCCCCAGATTCCAGTTATTGCCACAGTTGGAGCCATTATAAGGGAACCCCCTATTTCATTTTTTCTCAGAAACCTCTGCTCATAGAATCTGTAATTTTGGGTCTAAGGGGGAAGTAATTATGGAGTTACAACTCAAGATATTGGCATAAAACCCACATAGTTGAATTGTCCTTTGTATTCATCCAGTCGATGTTTATTGAGTACTTGGTCAAAACAGGCACTGTGCTGGGCCATGGGAGTTCAGTGGTGACAATCCCCAGGCCCTGGTCTGTGAACTGCCATTTGTGTAGTTGAGCACAAGAGTAGCCAGGCCAGTGCAGCATGGGCAGTTAAGTGGAGGGCAGCACAGGTGGCTGTCAGGAGAGTCATCATCGTTGATAGAGAAGGATTAGAGGGCAGAGAAGGCTTCCCACAAGAAGCAATGTCTAAACTGGGATTTCAGAGAAGAGTAAGATATTAGCCAAAGAAGTGTGAGGACAAGTGTTTCAGACAGAGAAGAAGCAGCATATGCAGAGGCTCAGAGGTGGAAAAGGGCATGGTGTGTTCCAGCACCAAAAAGTAGTTCATTCATAGCTGAAACAAAACATAGAAGGGTCACTGTTGGAGCAGTCTAAAGAATGACTTGGGCAGAGTAGAACGCAGGTCAGGGCACGTGGCAGTCGTCCAAGGAGACACTGTGAAGGTCTGAAGTGAGGTAGAGGCTGTGTGGATGCAGAGAAATGAGGAGGTAGAAGAGAGATCCAGGAGTAAGAATGGGGAAGATTTGGTTGCTGCTTGAATGACAAAGGAAAGGAAGAAGGAGGACTCTGTGGCCTGGTTCCTGCCTGGACAGCCAGGTGGACTGAGCGGGGTATGCACTCAGGGCATACCCTGTGATAATGGAAGAGGAAACAACTCTGGAGAGCTCTGGAAGCTGGAGGAGAAGGCCTCTGGTGGGCTGTACCTGATTTGTTGTCACTGTTGGTCACCTGGCTGCCTCTCAGTCATTGTGTCATTATGACTAAGTTAGTGTGTGGTTTCCTTAAGTCCACTGGGGACCTAAGGGTCACTGCAGACACATTTGAGTCATCTGGGGAGCTTTTTAAAATCCCAATGCTGAGGCCACACTCTACACTGTAAATCAGCATCTCTGGGGGAGGCCAAGCATCAGTGTTAGTAAAGTCCCACTAGTGAAACCAAGAACCAGATACCACTGCTTTTAGTCAGTCCCTGTGGTTGGCAGCTCCCATGTATGATAGGTGGGGAAGAAGGGGTGAAATAATAGCTATTAGTTGGTGTTTTTCACTCTAAAAGGTAGCACCTGCCCACTATGGGGGTGGAGGAAGGTTGACATTCTCAAAAAGGTGGTTGTTGTTGTTGTGTGCTGTCAAGTCAAACCCGACTCATAGTGACCCCTCCTTGGGTTTCTGAGGCAGTATCTCTACGGAAGTAGATTGCCCCATCTTCCTTCTGCGGAGTGGCTGTGGGTTTGAACCACTAGCCTTCTGGTTAGCAGTCAAGTGCCTTAGGCACTAAGCTACCAGAAAGGTGGTAGGACCTAATTAATTAGGAGTTAGACAAGGCTGGGCCTCAGGCCAGTATAATTTGTGCTTTCTGTGAAGTAAGTATTTATATGCTACAAGCTACAAGATGGCAAGGGCCTTCTTTGTTTGGTGTGCCAATGACACAGACCCTTTCAGGATTTCACCATATGTTTTCTACATGTAAATTGATGGTAGCACAGACATTTTGCCTGTTCATAGCAGACCTAGTCCTCTCATCAGGATATGGTTAATTGTAATTGAAACTTTGATTAATTTGTTTGTATTTATATGATATATCATAGCTTACAGTGGTTCAAAACACTTCCTTTAATGTATAAACAGCTTTATGGTGTACATATAATTTTCTTTTCATATTTGGGGTCATTGGATCTTAGAAAATACAAGTTTGGCCTTTAAAGCACAGAGACATGCCTGTAATTAAAAATTTTAAATTTCATTGAACTTTTACCTCTGAAAACTAATAATATTACATACATTTAAAATATTTCATAATTAGTTTTCCTAGTTGCAATTGGAGGAGCTCTGGTAGCATGGTGCCTAAGCCACTTGACTGCTGACCAGAAGGCTGGCGGTTCAAACCCACCAGCCACTCCTCAGAAGGAAGGTTGGGCAATCTACTTCCATAGTGATACTGCCTCGGAAACCTAAGGAGGGGTCGCTATGAGTCAGGTCCGACTTGACAGCACATAACAACCACAACAGTTGCAATTGGGGCTTATTGGTAAGAGTTAATTGTGTAAAAAGTCACATTATTGAAATTTTAAACATATCATCATTCCACAAATCCATTATTTACCAAAAAATGTTCCTAGGACATATCAGTGTTGAAATTTCTGAAGATGGACATTAAAGTTCATATCTATTATTTATTGAGTTATTCTAGGTGCCAGATAATATATCACGCACTTTGCTTCATTATTGCAATTCATTATGACCATTCTTCCAGGTAGGTGACAGAGATTTTTTATTTTTATTTATTTATTTATTGTGATCTGGATGAAAATTTACAAAGCAGATTCACTTTCCACACAGCAGTTCCCATACACTTTGTCTCATGACGTTGACTGCAATTTACCCCAATGCAACAGCTCCTCTCCCATTTCCTCCCAGTAGTTACCTCTTCCCTGTGTCCCTCCCTCCATGTACTCTTGCCCCCTGAACTGTCTCCCTGTGCATAAACAGCCCTTCTTTCTCCCATGATTGTTCTCTCCAAGGAGTGTATCTACCTCAGGTAAATGTTCAACTCATATGCCTATCTTTTGTTTAGCTGGAAGCCACAGGTGTGGGTTCAATTCCAGACCTGACAGGCAGCTAGGGGCCATAGTCTCAGTGGTCCCACTAGGCTCTATCAGACCAGCAAACCTGTTCTCCTCCTTTTTGTTTTCCCAAATGATTTTGAGTTTTGTTCCACATTGTTCTCCCTCTCTATCCAGGATCTCCTACATAGTTCCCTCTATGAGCGGTCGACAGTGGTAGCCAGATACCACCTAGTTCTTCTGGTCTCATAGTTGTATAGGCTGTGGATCGCATAGTATATCAGTCACTAGGGCTAATTGTTTCCATGAATCTTTGGTTTTCTTCATTCTTCTTACTCTGGATGAGGAGAGACCCATCATTGCATCTAGATGGCTGCTTGCAAGCTTTTAAGATTCCAGTTGCTACTCACCAAAGTAAGATGTGGAACAATGTTTTATGTAGTATGTTATGCCAATTGAGCTTGATGTCTCCCACGACTATGGTCCCAAGCCCACCGGTTCAACTGCTTGATCCCTCGGGGTAGCTGGCTGTAACCAAGAAGTGACTACAACCTTGTCCCCTGTCAGCTCTACTATACACCTGGGAATTCTTATAGATCATACCAGTACACTTATAGGACCATTGCTGCCAGTCCTATACATGGTCTTCATAAACTACCTAATAGTTCAGCATGTCCACCCATCTATCCCCCTGTATACCCATGTTTGGCTGCACTGAGAACGCAGTACTGTATGTGCAAAAAGGTTCATCTTTGTTGTCTGTACCTCCCATGTACCTCTCTATATCTTCCTCTTCCTCAATGAGATGGCAGAAATCTTGTTTTATGGCTAATGAAACTGCAACTAGAGAAGCTCAGTGGATAGTGCACGACCACACAGCTGGTGAGCACTAGAGCCAGTGGAACTCACATCTGCTTGAAAGACTGCCCTGTTTATACTGTCTGCTCTGCTTTCAACCCAGTGGCACTGGTTTCTTTTTTCCTTCGTAGACATTCAGAAGGAGCTCTGGTGGCATAGTGCTTAAGGCATTTGACTGCTAACCAGAAGGCTGATGGTTCGAACCCACCAGCCACTCCTCGGAAGGAAGATGGGGCAATCTACTTGCGTAGTGATACTGCCTTGGAAAGCCAAAGAGGGGTCGCTATGAGTGGGATCCGACTCGATGGCAGTGAGTTTGGTTTTTTGGTTTAGACATTCAGAGACTTTTCCTAGATAGCTTAGATGATTTGATAATTTTGCTAAAGTGGTTAATGGTATGAATGGCTTTGAGTCTAGGGAGATACCTCTTGTCTTGATCAGAGTAAAAATGGAGCACCATATACCCATTCACACCCCTGGAAGAAAACCCAAATGCAGAGAGTATTTTGCAGAAGGAACCTCAGACTCAGTTTCTTTCTTTGGGTCACCTCTTTTTACTCCAGCCCACATAGACTGACAGAGACAGACAAAAAATAATGATGTAAAAGAAAGGTTTGAACAAGTCTCAGAAACGGAATATCTCCTAAAGATTTTAACTTACTTTGTAACATGGATGGATTTAGAAGTGGATAATCCTTTAGTCAGCTGGAGGGACCATGGCAATCCTATTCTTTTTACATATCTCCCAAAACCATAAATCCCTGTCTTTCTCAGATTTTAGGTTTTCTCAAGCTATTTGGAAACTGCCAGGCAAAAGAATTTCTTTGAAGAAATGTAGAAAGTCTGTCACTCTTGGTCTCTGATGTCATTTTGGGGTTTTTAATAAATTTACCCTTTGGAATGATGTCACATGCAGTTATTCATATAAAATTCTAGTAGAAAGTAACCAAGACTGAGAATTAATCACAGTTTTTTTTTTTTTTTCTGGCTGTTCTGCAGTAATGACATAGCTCACTAGAGCACACTCAGACTTTTCCTCACTTCAGTTATTCTTTCCAATAGCCTAATATCCTTTCCCATGAACTTAGTGAATGGTGGGACCTTTTCAAAGGGATGGTGGTAGGTGACTTAGAAAATATTTGGCTATGACTTTTCTGGGATGATTTGTGTTGATTTGAAAATTTGATGCAATTATCGAAAATGTTTACATTCCTTTCTATTGTTTGATGTCATTCTTTTATTTTTTTCTCATTCATAATGCTTTCGTACTCAGGAAGTTGAGGTAGGTTTTTGACTTTTCAACTATATGTAGACATAGCATCAATATAGTTGCCAAATAAAATGTAAATTTCATTCTAAATCCTAAATCTCAATCTCAGTGGTAAATATTTGTTTTAGTTCAGTGAACCAGCACTGCACATATTTATTTTTCATTGGTATATCCAGGGGATGCAATTTATCAAATGCATATAAACAGTCCATTTGCTGCTTTATCTTTTCTCATTAGTTACAGTACAAGTATGATTGTCAGTTATTATCTGTGTTTTACTGGTGGGTTATTTATTGAAAGAGCAGAGCAACTGACATTGTTATTTTCTAAATCATTTTGTCTAAGGCCTGCAGGACTTTAAACCAAATGTCAGACCAATTTATCAAAGAATTGCTCTATTCAAGATGAAAGTGATTTAGAGTGTGTATATAAACAGACACCTACCTGTACTTCACACACACAAACACACACACTTGCAGACCTGTGATTGTCATGGGAATTTCTCATGGATACAGAGATGTTAATAAAGGTGCAACAACTTAACTTTGATACAATTTGTCAAAGATTTAATGTGTGCTGTTGAGTGATGCCTTGGGGAATATACAGGTGAGTATAAGGCCCATTCTTACTCAGGGTAGCCTAGGCCCAGATGTGTATAAGTGATATGTGCACATGGAAATATATTAATATACGCAGCTCCTGGTCCTTGGTGGGCAGGGGTCTCATGAATGGTGTCTATGGAAAGAAAGATGAGAGGCCTCATGTCACTGCTGAAACTGGGACCAGTTGGTTGGGTCATTTCCTTCAGAAGGATTCTCACTGAGGTTCTTCACCAGGGATAAGAAGGGAAAAGCCCAGTTGAGAGCACATTGTCCAGAGATCTGAATGGAAATGCCTCAGAGGTAGTTGTATGGGAGCTAGCTCCTTTCCCCAAAAATGGAGTGTTTTGTACCTCACATCAGCTTGATTAGCAGGGATTTCCACTGCATATGAATTAAAATTATAGGCAAATGTTATATTATACAACTAATGTACTTCTCAAATATAATCTAGAACTCTCACTTTTCCTGTGACTTCTACTATCATTTCAGAGAGTCTCCTCCCACCCATTCACCCACCCACAACCAGCCCTCCTTTCTTTTCTCCCCAGTCACCAAACCCACTGCTGTCGAGTCAATTCTGACTCATAGCGACCACCATTAGGTTTCTGAGCTGGTAAATTTTTACAGAAGTAGATTGCCCAGTCTTGCTTCCGTGGAATGGCTGATGGGTTTGAACCACCAACATTCTGGTTAGCAGTCAGATGCCTTAGGTACTGTGCTATCAGAGCTCCTTCTCCCCAGTCAAGTACTTGGAAAATTAACAAAACCAGTTTGTGCTGAATTCCTTTGAGAGCAGTTTGGTTATAGTCCCTTAATTGATCTCTTTCTAAAAAATTTTGGTTTTGTTATAGTGAGGCTGGCCTCTATCCAGGATAGAGCATCTACAAGCTCAGGTTGAATCCACCTGACTTTGCAAGACAGGTTTTCTCCTTTTGCATTCATCTGCAGCAGGCCTGATGACAACCCTTGCTTTACTTTGCTTCCTTCTGTTCATGTCTCTATTGCTCACTCCTGATCAAGGCAGATGAGCCTCCCATTAATTTTCCAGACTGGTAATTTGTATTATCTCAAGTAATTCTCCAGTGAAACTGCAGGGCTCAAACAGCCTAGCTAAAATATGTATGAGGGAAAAACTATCAGTTCCATGTGAGCTAACTGTCTTTGTTGTGTAGCATCCGAAGCTTTAAGATATATAATAAATTACATCATCATGTTCATAATCAGGAACAAAATATTTGAGTTTCAACAGTGATTTGAATTTGGTTCTGTCATCCCATCTCTTTCTCAGAGTCTGCTGTGACAGTCTTTGGAACTAAAATATACACCTCTCAAAAGTCAAGTCCCTGGGGAGTATTTGAGCTAAGTGACATCAGCCATTTTAGTACTGTGGGACAGACAGGAGAAGAAAAATTCAGGTTCCCATTCAAAATGGGCTGTAACCATAAACTTTCCAATTGGTCATGATCATCCATAATGAAGAAACTTAATCATCCAAATTATAGCAGTAATATTTTTGTATCATTTCATGTTAGCCAGACTTGAGGCTTTCATTGGAGGACACAATGTAGAGAACTATATTCTTTGGCTAATATAGAGTATTTTCAAATGGATTTCCTTTCCCATGAATGTAGATCAGGATAAAATATCTCCAAAACAGTTGAAAAGCCAGAGTCAAAATCCTTTCCACCAGCTACTGGGTGAGACTAATTTCACAGGATCCAGTACTATGATAGTGAGAGATTTAGTTAGTGAGATAAGTGAAGAAATACAGTTTTATCAATGTTGATCAGCTGTGTGAGATAAAAAATAATTGGGGCCATGATCACTGTCAATCTCTGATTCTTCATGTCTCTATTGAGTAGGAGTTTTCTCCACTTAATTTCTGATAGACACATGTTTTACTCCACCATCAGCATTATCCCCTTCTTCCTTGTACTAGGCATGTAATGATTTGTCACTTTCTATGATATCACTATGATCTGTATGCTGACTTATCATGATATTTTCTGATACCCTGGGATACTTCAGGATTGTGGACATCAGCCAATGTGCCTAAGCCTAAAGTTCATTTAAATACATAGGTTATGTTAAGAGTCCCTAAAAAGAGTTGGATAATTTTCATTTACCAAATGATACAGAGAAGACGACTTCCTCAAGTCTCTCCTCTGCCCTGTCCAGTAGAGTCCTGACTTAATTATACTGTGCAGTGTAGCTTATAAAATATACATATACAGTAACACTGCCATCCTTCATTCCTCAGCCTTTATAATGCATTAGTGGACATTATTGAATTTAATGAATGACTACATTTAGATATACATCTTTCTATTTAGGCTTATATTTTTAAAAATAAACTGTTGCTGTGGTCTTTGCAAATCTTTTTTTAAAAGCTTCATCAGTAGTTGATAAAATTACCAGTCAAGAGGCAAACTCAGGCAGATACGCCTTGCCTGGCAAGATTGATATGACATATCCAATATGCCTTTTACCGCATTCTGAATTTTAAAAGGCTACAACTTTATTGTGCCAGAAGAAAGGTCAGAAGTCAGGGCCCTAAAAGCTCTTTACGTTTCTGGGATCTGGCCTGGACTCTGAGGCATACACATCAAGGACATTCATTCACATAACACAACATCACGGTGGTGTGGGGAATGTGTAGTACTCCAGGTGTGGGAATTGTAACTGTTAGAAAACTGATAGAGCTTTAAGCAGCACAGGAAGCCATGGGTCTGCTTGTTTTAAAACAATGTTAAATATACACTGTATTTTTAATTTAGATAGTACATAATATAAAAGCTGGGCTGGTGCCACCAAGACCTTAAGTTCTGGAAAAAATGACTGACCTTCGTATTGGTAGAGTATTGGTTCAGGGCCACAGACAGCTGTCCTGATGTCCTTTGAGCATCCAGATTACTAAGTGGGGCTCAGGGATGAGCAAATTCTTAGGAGATGAAGCTCTTAAAGATTCATTCCTTTGTCTTTGGTTCTTTCTACATGTGATTGGAAGCTGCTTCCCAAGCAGTTCCCTCAGCGTGCAGGGTGAGTTAATTGATAGGGCCCCAGCCTGCTAGGACACACCGTGTGTACAGGCCTCTCGGATCCGGTTGGGGCAGTGTGGAGAGTGAGTCATCTATGTTCCAACATCTCATACTCTGACCTCAACTGCAGCCATGTCTACGAAGACATGTCTACCCTGTGCTCACGGACCATCCCTCAAGTGGGCTCTGGTGCCTAGAATACTTTCACACATACGTGTGCATGATCTTTGGCCCCTGTGAGATGGCATTTTCTCCTTCAACTATAGCCAAAACAGTTAACTCCTAAAGTTTCTTCAGCTCCTGGCTGATTTGTTCTTCCTTTGGCAGTCCACTTTCCTATGACAAGGCAAAGGCAGTCAGATATGGACAATCCGTTTCCCTCATTGCTTGGCCTTGCTGGGCAAAGGACTGCTTGAAGGACTCCTTTTGCATAATGAGTTTTCATTCAAGGTGTACTTTCACATTTGGCAGCAATTAGGCAGTATTATTGCATTTGCAATAGATTTTAAATATTCTAATGCAGATACCTGCTTTTAGAAGCTTTATACTTCACACTATGATTTTCCCCAAGAAATATGTAAAAATGGCAATTATAGGTAACCTGGAAAAGTGACAAGGTCCAGAAGAATGCTTCTAATTCCATCCAGGTTATAAAGTCTGCTGAAATCATTAGGGAATATTCAGTTCTTGAGACCTGCTCAAACCTTTCTTTGACATCAAATGGAAAGTGACATGTGAAATTAAAGTAAAGGAATTTGTTTTTGGCTCCAACGCTTCCCTGTAGGACACACATCCTAAGCTTCCAAGGGTCTCCATATTAGAACAGCATATTTAAATAGAACATATTTCACAGGATTCCAAATTGCCATTGGAAATGATGCCATCCTCTGTATGTGAAGAGGGCCTTGATGAACCATGGTTGGAAGGATGAACATTTTATTTTTTTTTCTCCAGTGGTGAGAATGAGTACTTCTTGAGTTATCTCTTCTCTTGCCAATAGCAGAAACTATTGGTAACATGGTTGTCTAAGGCTAAGAACACGTTGGTCATAAAATCGAGAAATTGGGCACTAAATTTTTCACCTATCACCCAACCCTTAACTTAGAATCATTTAACATGAGCTGCAGAATTTCTGAAAGCAGGGTTCTAAAATTTAGAATTGTGCTAAAAATAATAAGTGGAGAGAGATGTTGCAGAGAGATTATTTTAAACTGTCTCCATGATATCCATGATGTAGACCTCAAAGACTTCCTAAACACAGGGGTAAGAAGGCCAGTTATGCCATAAAATTAAATCCAGAGCAAAGTGGGCTAATAATTCTTTGGAGTTAAAAAGAATTTAATACCAAGGCCCCAGGATCCAGAAGAACCTGTTTATGTTTATTCATGCTCTGGAAAATGAAATCACTGCTCAAGATGTAATATGTTCTGATTTTACTCTAAATCCAGTTCCCTAAAATCTATTTAAGGACTTATGTGGAGTCAACAAGAATACAATAAAGGCAAGTAATCGAATGACACAGCGACCGATAAAATTCAGAGGAGACCATGTCAGAGATAAACTGTAGCAGGAGGCATCATGGACGATAATTTAAACTAATTGTGCACTTTGATATAAATTAACTTCTCCAGAAGAGAAATTGAAGCCTCATTTTGGACAGCTCCTAAAACTGTCTGCAGCATCCAGAATACCTGCCAAAACTATACAGCAAATAAATTTGGGTGTATTCAGGAGGAAATCAACTGAAAAAGATCAGTTTTCCTACGGATGATGTGGGGATGATGTGCATGGGTGATCCCTCTTCACCTTGCCTGTGTTCACTTGTACTGACACTGTGGGTGTGTTGGAACAATGGGGATTGATGGGCATTGAAGGGGAGAATAAAAAGAGGGGACAATTGTCTTTTGGAAGAAAAGGGTCATTAGAAATGGGGAAGAGGTAATATAACTTTGAAGAAGTGAGTAACCTGGACCCTTGTAATTTCAAAGCCTAGCATCAGAGCATACATTGATGTAAGCTGTATGCAAGAAAGATGTGTTTATGAGTAGACCAAATTGGCCTGCCTTTGTTTTATTTGTTTAATTTTTATCTTTGTATAGCTGGAACAAATGGTACTAAGCTAAATGTATATCTCTGTTTAATTCTAACATTTGAATGATCCTTTGTTTTTAGGTCTGGTGAGTATTGGAAAACTGGAACTGTGCACCACTTGTTATATGTCTCCATGTGAAAGAAATGTTGACAGTTGAATTATCAGCTGTTACAAACACAGAAGCTTAATCATGAGTGAGAGCAGCAAGGCATCACCTGCAGTATAATTGATAGCAAATACACCTTGCACTTAGAAGTTGTCTCGGCTTATATGTCAAACCAAGAAGAGCAGTGCTGTCTCCCCATGGGGCTGAAGTGTTTTTATTAGTCCAGTGTTTAATGCAAATAATTTGAGGGACAAGAATTTGAAAAGTAAATTGATATTTTTGATTGCACATTAATGCCTGTTTTAGGAAAGATTTCTGACCTGTTAGTGTTTTCCTTTGTGTTTGGGGAAGTGAGGAGAAAGGCAGGTTTTTATGCAGTTTTGTGAAAAGCTTCCTGAAATCTAATCCCTGTTTTCTATTTTTTCCCTTATATAGGATGATTATTTCAGAAACTGGAATCCCAACAAGCCCTTTGATCAAGGTAAAAGATGCACTATTTATTGCTACATATGCCATGGAAATTGGTGGTCTGATTTTTCTTCCTTGTAATGCTGAGTTAATGTTTCCGTAAAGGCCAGCTAGCTGTCTGATTTGATCAGCTGTGGGGACTGAACTAACTGGGGTGACAGAAATTGTTCTATCAAGTTGGTTATTTCTCTGAGATTACATCTAAGATTTTTAAATATTTTTAGTTAAAGTGATCAGTCCAGTCGATGACTGGTTTTGTTAAAAGACAAAATGGTTATGAGACTAATCTGAGGAATTGTGGGACTGAATCCAATGAGTTTATTCCTGGAACAGACTGTGCATGGAGAAGCTCCCCAATTCACATAAGCCATAAAAATGAAACTTTCTTTCTGGAAAGAGGTTAATCTGGGAGGCTTTTAAGAGCACTGATATTTCATTTGTTAAAAACTTATTTATGGCCTCTAAGTAGAAGCTTGTTTCAGTTAGAACCACTTGAGTTTAAACCTTGTGCTCAGATGGCTCTTTGCACTCAAACCAGTGAGCCCAGAACCAGTCTAATGATGGCTGTGGCAAATCATGAACAGCATTCTCCTGTGAGTTATTTAAGACAGAATGCAGGTCTGCCATGAATCACCTCTCTGTCCCCATTTTTCCATGTGCTGCTGTTGTTGGCACAGACCCCTGCTGCTGAAATGATGGTAGATTGCACTTTGTGTACATACATGCAATTAATGTGGAAACTCACATGAAAAATATTACCTACCAATGTCAAAGGATTCACACTTCTGAGAATCAGCTTTAGTCATTATTTTAGGTATTTGATGTGATGACAATAGTCAACGTGATACAAAGAAATCAAAGAAGACAATGATATATAATAACGTGGTAGAAGGTGCCTCTTTCTGCCTGCTGCTTTGTCTCTTTAATGAGTCACTCTCTCTGGACTCTGGCTTTCTCACAAGAAAAATTGGTGTAAAAATTTCCACATATGTGTTTAACACATGCCTTCAAGTAGTGCAACCTTTCTGTCTTCCTTCCTTCCCCCCACCCCCTTCCCTCCCCTCCCCTCTCCTTCCTGTCAACAGTTGCCGTAGCATGTGTTAAGACATGTGATGCAGGTATGTGCAGGGAAGCATATGAGGAAGAGGTGGGGGACTTACGTTGGTGTGTGCACATGTGTGCTTTTGTGTGTGTGTATAGGGGCAGAATGTAAGGGAAAGCTTTCCTCTGGAGCTTCTGACTGGGCTATTTATTGTACCTATCTTAGGAGCCTCTGAGGCTATCACTCCTTTACAAATGAGAGCATTTGTAATTTAGTTCAGAAAATTTCCATCCAAAAACCCACTGCCACTGAGTTAATTCCAACTCATACTCTATCCTGTAGGATAGAGTCGAACTGCCCCCAGAGGATTTCCAAGGCTGTAAATCTGGAAGCATAGTGGCTAAGGCACTTGACTGCTAACCAGAAGGCTGGCGGTTCAAACCCACCAGCCACTCCTCGGAAGGAAGGTTGGGCAATCCTACTTCCGTAGTGATACTGCCTCGGAAACCCAAGGAGGGGTCGCTATGAGTCAGGGCTGACTCGACGGCACATAACAACAACAACAACAAATCTTTACAGAAGCAGACTGCCACATCTTTCTTCTGCAAGTGGCTGGTGGATCCAAACTCGATTAGAAGCCAAGCACATACCACTGTGCCACCAGGGTTCCTTTTCCATCATATATTACCAACATTAAAAAAAAAAACAAAAAACTTTAGGATGATGTAACTTCATTTGTGAAGAATAGTCATATATGTAGAGTAGCACATCCCCCATCTGTGCCTTATAAGTGAACACTTCCACAAGAAGCCCTGCCAGGCTTGTGCTTCTGAAGGTAACATAATTGACGATTGTAGTGAACTATTCTTCTTCTTCTTCTTCTTTTTTTAAATTTTTATTGTCATTTGGGTGAAAGTTTAGAGAGCAAATTCATTTTCCATATAGCAGTTCATACACATTTTGTCTGATGACATTGACTGCAATTTCCCACAATGGATGCTCTTCCCACTTCCTCCCCGTAGCTACCTCTTCCCTGTGTGCTTCCCTCCCATGCACTTCTACCCCCAGCCATCTCCCTGTGCAAACACTGCCCTTCTGTTCTCCCATGATTTATTTCCTTGAGGACTGTATCTACCTGATGTAAATGTTCAGCCCATATGCCAGTCTGTTGTTTGGCTGGAAGCCACAGGAGTGAGTTCAGTTCCAAACCTGAAGGGCAGCTAGGGGCTATAGTCTCAGGGGTTTCACCAGGCTCTAGTGGCATAGTGCCTAAGGCATTTGACTGCAACCAGAAGGCTGGCAGTTCAAAGCCACTAGCCACTCCTCAGAGAGGAGATTCAGCAATCTGCTTCCATAGAGATGCTGCCTTGGAAACTCAAGGAGGGGTCGCTATGAGTCAAAAATTAACTTGACAGCAGTCAGTTTTTTTGGTTTTATCAGACCAGCAAACCTGGTTTTTAATTTTTATGATTTTGTGTTGTGAACTATTCTTTCTTAAGTCAAGAGCCAGAAATAGGTTTTTGTCATATAAAGATCAACTGTTGCCTAAATGACTGTCACATGAATACTTTCCCAAGGTTTGCAAATAAATACAAAAATGTTACCACGGAAAGACATTTTTATTTTCACTAAAGCACATTGGAGAGTGTAATAGAAGGTGGGCATCATTTGCTACTTGCACATATAATTGATAGCTTCCCTTCATTTGGGGGTTTAAAACAGAAGCTTTCAAGCACCAAAACAAAACAAAACAAAACAAAAAAACCACCATGATATTTAAATCTGCTCAGTTAAAAAGGCCAAGCAAGGATTTTTCTCTCTCAGGAATAGTGGCAAACACATCTAGCAGAACTCCGCCCCTGCTCCCTCTTTTTCTAACCCTGCAGGCTTGGAAACCGATCTGCTTAGATAAATCCTCCAAGAAAACCTCATGATTTTATGGGGTATAATTGAAGACCTTAGATGAGTAGCCCCTCTTTCTACCTCAGGTGTAGCTGCTGTTGGCTATTTATATACAGAGCCATGGCAAGAACAGGAGGAGCTGAGAATAGCCTTCACTTAAAATATCAGCCCCAGCAGATGTCATCAATTACATTGTGTGCTGCTCAATAAAAATGGGAGGTTACTATATCAGCGCTGACACCACTTGGTGAAATATACACCACAGGCATGGAAGATGTGGAGCATTTCATCTTCCAGAAATAGGAGAATTGCTGAACTCCACTGGAAGTTGTCTGTTGCAGAGGAAAGTCATTTTCCCTCCTAAGCTGGGAGGGGGAAAAAAAAAAAAAAAAGGTTGAGATGGTTGTGGGGTTGGAGAAAACTTTGTAGTTTGTAGAAATGAGACTTATTGAAAAGCATTGCAGAGTTTCATATGACAAATATGGGCTAGTGTAGAGATGAGAGTGGAAAGGTCTTTGTGATGGAAGTAGGTGTGGAGTGGGCTTGAAATATAGGGAGAGAGGAAAAGAAAGAAAGGGGTGACAGAAGGGGAATTCTGGTGCCATATAGCCAGGAAGGTGAATTTGAAATAGGTGGTGAAGGATGTTCCATACAAATAGAAAAGTTTAAACTTTATTTTCTTGGCAATAGAGTGCCATAGAAGATTTTTGAGTGGAAGGATGACATTTTTATTTTATTTTAAATTTTTCTGAATTTTTAAATTTTAATATATATCTTATGTGCACAATTTGATGTCCTCCCTTTCCCCAATGTTATCATGCTGGTCACAGACTCTTTCCATACCATCCCTCCCCTTACCCAACCTGCATGTGATCCCCAACTAGTCCAAAATTATCCTTCCAAAATATAGTCCGAAGGATGACATTTTGTTGTTAGGTGTTGTCTAGTTGGTTCTGACTCATAGGAACCCTACGTACAATAGAATGAAACACTGCCTGCTCCCACTACATCAGACAGTGTTCCACTGCTATTCATAAGGTTTCCAGTGGCCAGTTTTTTCAGCAGTAGACTACTATATCCTTCTTGCTAGTCACTCTTAGTCTGAAAGCTCCTTTGAAAGCTGTTGACCAAGGGAGCCCCTGCCAGTATTTGATATACCGGTGGCATAGCTTCCAACATCACAGCAACAAGCAAGCCACCATAGTACAACAAACTGACAGATGTGTGGTGGGGGGAATGACATACTGAAGGCAATATTTTAGAGATTTTAATTTGATTACCTAACAGTTCACATTAAGAAGCCAAGGAATACATGCTAAATGGTGTCCCTCCTATAGGACTCTTGGGTAACTTCTCTGTCACATCATTCACTGCCTTGGAGCCCTGGACTGTGCCTGCCATAGGTGGTTGGACTTATCAATACATCTCTCTAGTTTGACCTTTGAAACACCCATGTGATTTCTGATTGTCTTTGGGTGTTGGTGTGGATAGTTAGGAAACTCAAAGTGGCTGGTGGGATCGAACTGTTGACCTTTTGATTAGCAACCAAGCAATTAACCACTGAGCCACCAGGGATCCTAAGAAATAGTTACCTAGCTGTAATTACTCCCTCTGCTTAAAGATACTTACTGAGATTTGAACAACAGGCCTTCATGGATCGAGCACTTACCATGTAATTGATTCCAGAGCAGTTAGAAGAAAAGGGTTTTACCTGGCACTCTCCTAAGATGGGACTGGGAAGGTCTTTAACTTGTTATCTTTAAGCAAATCACTAAGGCTTCCATTGTTGTTGTTGTTGTTATGTGCCGTCGAGTCGGCCCCGACTCATAGCGACCCCTCCTTGGGTTTCCGAGGCAGTATCACTACGGAAGTAGGATTGCCCAACCTTCCTTCCGAGGAGTGGCTGCCATTAGAGGAGGATAATAGTCATCAACTTCAGGCTTTCCTAAAAAGAATTGTGTCAAATCTGGGTGAAGCAGTATATCATTTTTGACTATAATAAGTTAATGCAGAATCTCCTCACAGAAGGGACAGACAGGAGTTCAGAACTGAAGGATCAATGATTAATT